TTTTGTTTATTAGCTCACTTTTTATAGACAATACGACAAGTTAACTGAACATGTATTGTAGAATTCTGTGCATTGCTTGTACAATTTTTGTAGCAATGTTTAAATATTTTGGCTTATGGTTGTATTACAGTTGTGATCTCTATGGTCAACCTATAGATGATTATCTAAATTGCTTTCTCAAATGATAAAGCTCAATTTTAGCTATCTATTAACATCCTCAAAGGTCTGAATATCTACTGGTAGAGCGTAAATTGAGTTCTAAATTTATTTCCTTAGATGTGAGAGCAGAATTAAGATATCCGCCATTTGATAGAGTTCTAAGGTTTTGGACACAGTTTTGATTTGATGCGTGGCAAATATGTCTGGACAGAATCTCATTGTGTTTCAACATAATTTTGAAAAGATAGCTTACAATTTATTTGAGACCAAAGAAATACCCTAATTTGCGCCCCAAATCTCTGGATATGACTACTAAAAGAGTGGTGCTAATTGAATTGGCTTTCTATTTTGTCAGTAAACATAGTAGAAATCTGGTAGATGGACTAGCCTGATGTAGAAAGAAAAGTAATTAGGAGCTACTGTATAATGGATGATGAAAGAACACTCAGTAAAGCGTTAAATTAATTATCAGGTTGTTGTGAGTGTTCCACTACCATAGTACCATTAGAAAAAAAGTACTATTCCTCAAGGGAATACTTCGATATTGACAGGTTAATCTGCCAACACTACAATATTCTTAATCTGAGGAAGGTCAATCTGGCGAAACTGCAGATGCATAGAGTTCATAGTGGATCAGGTTAACTTTGAAACTGGAAGAAAGGAGCAACAAGCGGCATATATATTAAAATCTGATCAATCACTGGATTTAGTGGACCTTAGGGCATTGATGACTGAAAAATCACAGTTGACATCTCCATTGTTTATGGCCTACCTATCTACCAGCAATAATTGCATCTTGTGATTTTCAGATCTATCAGGTTCATTGCTGCTGCTTGCTGTCTGTTATATGTCTGGATAATCTCTTTGCACATGAAGACTGCCACATGTCTAATGACTACTTTAAAACACCAGTTACTCTGAGCCATCATCCTTGTTAACAGAACTGATCTGATCTGTGTACATCTACTTTGAGGATGTAAAGGGTTTGATGATAAGTTTATTCAAAATTATCGTAAATATCTCTTCTCTGACTGTTAATTGAAAAATAATGCTGAAATAATGCTAAATAAGGTGATTGGTCATACAAGAATATAAAAGTAAAAGTTCTTTGTAAGGGGGAACAATCTCTTTTTTCTAAGAGTGTGATTCTGTACCTTCTAAGAGTGTGGTGTATGGTTCTGCTCCTTTTCTAAGAGTGTGGTGTGTGTTTCTGCTCTTTCTAACAGTGTGATTCTGCTCCTTCTAACAGTGTGATTCTGTCCTTCCCTGTGTGTGACTTGCTTACACCAGACAGGCAAGGTGGCATATTTTCAAACCGTATTTCCTCTCTGACAGTCAGTTAACCAATACTGTTTGATTACTTAATATAGAAATCTTAGCCTAAACTAACTTTGATGTTGTTGGCGCTATCTCATTGATTTTCAGGAACGAGGTTAAGATGACTTTACTACAACTCAATTATTAAATAGAATCTTTCCTCTGACTGAAAGTCTTTTATAAATCAGGATGTTAGGACTCTATTTAATTCCATTGCAATTTAGTCTGAGTGGTATGGGATAAAATGTTGAAATGGACGTCACGAAAAGTGTTGGGGGCCATTTTTAGGTCAAGAATTCAATTTGATTTCTATTTACTGTCTATAGGTCTGCAGATCTGGGAAATGAGTAGCTTTCCTCTAAAGAGCATTGTCAGCTAAATGCTTGGTTCAATCTGGCCTGAAGGAGATTACAGGGTATAATTTTTTGTTGATTTTGAGAGAACTTTTCGCTCGAGATCCAGACCATGCTAACTCTTTTCAAAACACCTGATGGTACTTCTCTTTGATGGAATCAACTACTCATGAAGGTAAATACGAACAGTAAATTTCTCTGCCATAGATGATGTACAGCAGAAAGCTGGTGAATTTATTCAGATAATACACAGCAGAAAGTTGGTGAATTTATTCAGATGATGCACAGCAGAGAGCTGGTAATTTATTCAGATGATGTACAGCAGTGATGCACAGCAGAAAGCTGGTGAATTTATTCAGATGATACACAGCTAAAAGCTTGTGAAATTATTCAGATGATGTACAACAGAAAGCTGGTGAATTTATTCAGATGATATACTGCAGAAAGATGGTGAAAATATTCAGATGATGCACAGCAGAAAGCTTCATTTCTTCATATTCCCCTTAGTAACTGTTATATACATAACAATCATATACCTTGTTATAAACTGTCTAGAAATCAATTGCTTATTGTGATATTCATCCCCTGGGCTTTGGAATGATGTAATTTAAATGTCGTGTTGAGGAAATTGAAATCTGCTTGCCATTCTCTCTTGTTTTTCTTATATCATTGTGCCAAAGTTCTGGTTCACAGCTAGAATCTTCTAGATAACATCTTCTCTCTTCATGAAGAAATATGAAAGTATTTCATCAAAAGCAATCTGTTGTTTTATAAATCTGAGCAGTGGGGATGTACAGTTGGTTACAAGGCAGGGAGTCCAATTACCGTCTGCTTGGCAATTACGTGCTCAGGTTATATATATTTAATCGAACAGAATTGTTTTTGTTTTGCCAAGAACAGGTCTACCAATTGCCAAAATGCTTTATCTACATCAAAACAAAATGTTATATAGGAAAAACAAATGAGACTGTCGTGAAAATTGCGTCTGCAAAGTTTGTCTTATGTTTGCCAAGGGATCAAAGTGACACAAGTCTTTAAGTGCTGAAGTCTAGGCAAGGACAATGAATACTTGTAAAATTTACAAGACAAAATATTTTCTGATACATTAATCTTTGATTTGAGAGTTTGAAATTGGTAATTTTGGTGGAAGTTTTTTGAAAGACATCTGAAAGGTGGAGAAACTATTACCAATAATACTTAGCCAATAAGATTAGTAGATATGATGTTCTACACAATGTAATGACATGTCTATTCTATTCCATTACTATTGTGGTTAAAAAGTATTGTAAATAAAAAACCTTGAATGACGTCAAACATTATTAGTGGGATTGATAACTAACTCCTACTACTATTAGATTATAATATATCGATTGAAGTATAATTCCTATAACACTGGGCCATTATTACATTATTAGATATATACATCTCTAATCAATAAATTAACAGTATATTAATTGATATCCGCTAACATATGAGATATTATTCAGTAATTGCCCCTTAATCACCTGAAATTACCCCACCTTCATTTTCTTGTCATGTTCACATGCATATTTATAGATTTTCAAAGACTTTCAATAAGAAAGGTGAATTTGAGATTGTTAGGTATGAGGTAGATAATTGCCAATATATGTGATGAATATCATTTAATTTTTGTTTTTTTAAAGAAAATATACATGTTATCATCATCTAGATATTTCTCTCTACAAATTGATAAAACTTAATTCCATTTATCTGTATCCCTTTTCAGAAGTAAAATTCGAGATTCTGTCTTCATTTCAAGAGTGTTAACATTGTCGTAGGCAGTTAGTACCCAAGATTTCATGATTATATCTGAATATAGGAAATGTTGTGGAAATGCATGAGTAAATGTTCTTAGAAGTACATTTGCAATAAGACCCTAAGTCAGAGTTTAATTCTGAAAAGAGATATGGTTAGCTGTAATTGAGCTCTATCAACTCATTTAACAAATATAAGTAACTATATCTCTGCCTTGAAATACAATAAATTGCTGGTAATTAAATTTAGTTAACGAGCTATAGCAATACACCATAAGTATTCTGTATATTAAATCATCTAATTGTATATTACAAGTTAGGCTGATGACCTTATGAAACCCTAACATTATCATATCAATACAGATTAAAGGGATTATATACAGTAATGATATATATCATAAACCCCCTCGCTGCTGAGACACATGACCTATTTTTATATTTTGTATATTCAGGGTTTTATTGCTGATGTATTCAGCTCATGTTTCTCTTGTAACTATTATCTTAGTCCAAATCTCATTTGAATAAACTTGTTTTTGTCAAAACATATAAAAGATATTTGATCTAGAACTAGTTAAGGAAAAGTCTAGAACTAGTTAAGGAAAAGTCAAGAGCTAGTTAAGGAAAAGTCTAGAACTAGTTAAGGAAAAGACAAGAGCTAGTTAAGGAAAAGTCAAGAGCTAGTTAAGGAAAAGTCAAGAGCTAGTTAAGGAAAAGTCTAGAGCTTGTCAAGGAAAAGTTTTGAGCTAGTTTAGAAAAAGTCTAGAACTAGATAAGGAAAAGTCTAGAACTAGATAAGAAAAAGTCTAGAGCTAGTTAAGAAAAAGTCTAGAACTAGTTAAATAACAGTCTAGAACTAGATAAGGAATAGTCTAGAGCTAGTTAAGGAAAAGTTTGACCAAAGCCCTTTTTGCGCTGACCGATTTTTTGTGTTCTTTGAAAACAGAATAATTTAATGTCACATCCCATTTATTTTGTTGAAATGATGAAAAAACATCCCCAGGGTGTAACATTGTTTTTGAAAGAAAAGAGTATCGCTTTTCTTAAAAGAAAATAGAAAAATGTGGTTTGGTACAATATGCTACTAAGCAAAGAAATCTGATCCAGATTTTGTCTTGAACAATCTGAAAAACCTGTAAGCAGATTGTTCTTTGTGTTTACTTTTAGACAATATTCCTCAGAATAATTTCCATCTAAAAGATAAAAGATATTTCTATGTAGGGAATGATTGAAGAACCTTGTTAAGATTGGAATTCAATTTGCATGTCACCACATAAAACTTCCTAATGGATATTAAAGCTGTCATGCTGTTAGAAAGCAATTGTTGATTATCAGAAAAATTTCTGAAAATCTAACCTGTTTAACCAGATATATAGATTAATTTGTTTATTTTTTTCAGGAAATATAGAATACTCCTGCCCAGCTAGTGGAGAATGTGAAATAACTAAAAGAAGACGTAAGGCCTGCCAAGCTTGCCGATTCCAAAAATGTTTAAGAGTTGGCATGCTTAGAGAAGGTAAGGAACAATTTCAAATCTGCGACATTTTTCTCCAAATTCTATTGATTACCGTTTTTCTTGCTTTCGAAGGAAAATCGATTATCTGGGATCATTCTAATTCAGAATATATATTGATGCTAAGACATTGTTTTTACAAATGCCAAAATAATCATTTTTAAGAATATGTTTTTACAGAAGACAATTTTCAGTTTTTGGAAGTATTTATTGACAAAATTTATTTTGAAGCTGATGTTCCAATTCATTAAAAAAATAATTGGTAAAATTCGATTTACCAATGAAAGTAGAAAGACTGTAGCTAATGAATCATTCATAAAAAAGGCCATGTTAAGTCTCTAAGATCACAGGTTAAAGACGGAATTTACAAATTTTATCTTTAAAATACATTTTCTTGTCTATATCTGGCTGGATTGGGACATGATGAAACAGGAAATGATATTTTTTATGGGAGAAGATGTCTAAATAAAGTCATCTTTCTCACAATCATTGATTAAAAAAGAAATCCACACGAAATGTAAATGAAGTCAGAAGAATGTCAGGAATTTGGGACCTATCTATATTCCTGTCTGAGTAAGGTATTGATTCCATAATCCAAAAGCATTGATTTTTTCTGACTTTTCTTCCAACATGGCACCGTACTAGAAAAGATAACTGACTAATCATCGATTGGTCTGAAGATCTGAATAGTTTGTACACAGTGCAGCTTGTAGTTTGACCAAGCAAAAATATACATTTTCTAAAAATATCCAAACCAAGAAACAAATACAAGGTTAATCTAAAAGGGATTGTATTTGTAAAGAGATTTGCTAAATTTTGTATGTGTATCAGGGACACTGATAGCATTGATTTGCCTTAATCCAATTTTCAATTAGATATCTGTGGTTCTTGCAATTCAACCAAAACTAGGCGTTTAATGTAGTCACTATTGCAAAGGTTCTCGCATTTCAATAGCTACTTTTGCGATAGTCTAAATTTAAGTGTAATTTCAAGAAAAAGACATCTGATTGAAAATTGGGATGGTGCAAATCGATTGGTTTCCCTGATACACATAAAATTTTTAGAAAACCTCTTAACAATGCCTTCAAAAGCATTTAAACAGAATAGCCAAGCCCACTCCGTCTACTTTTACTGTTCATTTTTTCAAATTTTTCATAATTTGAAATGAGTACTATATAATAGATCATGAAGTATATCTCTTGATGTGTTAAGCACCTGATTAAGTTTGATTTATTACTTTGATTACTTGATTTATGTTGATTGATATGAGATATCAAAATTAAATATTGAAAAAATCTTAATATAAATGGTTCAGTGAAGGTTGGAGATCTAATAAGAACTTTAATATTACCAGGAGTCTTTCAGACTATCAGGTGGAATGGTCAGCGATTAATTCCTAGATAATGAGGTCCTGACAGGCTTGCATCTAAAAACAGGAAACATTTGGTCTCTTGGTGGAATTCTCAGATATTTGTTCCTTGATAATAAGGTCCTGACAGGCTCCCATCTAAAATCAGAAATCTTTCAGACTATTATAAGGTGGAATGGTTAACAATTTGTGCCTAGATAATAAGGTCCTGACAGACTCCCATCTAAAATCGGGAACCTACCAGACCTCCCAGGTGGAATGGTTAGCATTTTGTGCCAAGATACTTCAAATCAAAAATGGTAGTCACTTGTAAAAAGGCCTGATAGTAATAATTCTGATCCTGAAGGTCTTGCAGCTTAAGTCAGGAATGCTTTCAGACATTTTGGAATAATGGTCAGCAATTTGTGCCAAAGTAAATTCCAGTAGAATTGGCACCAATGGAATAGCAGGATTTAAGCGACTATAATAAACTGATTGACCTGTCAGCAGGTCTTGATTGACGTTAGCTTGGGATATCATTAGAGAGTATCATACCATATGCTCATCGTAGAATCTCAAGATTTTTTCTCTAATTTACCATTACCAACAAACATTCTTCTTTGCTGCATTAAGTCCGAGTTAGTCTGGCTTTAATTTGGTCTTGTTTTACGAATTTGTAATAAACAATTTTGTAATTATGGAAACATCAACATGTTCTCTGAAACGTTTTCTTTACTAGAATTTTTTTTCTTCGTTAAAATATTTTATTCTGAACACACTGTTGTGTTCCTCTTGCAGCTTGATTTGAAATCAGAGTGGACCACTTCACATAATTGCTGTGGCCATCGAATAATGATTCTGAGTGACACTTGCTACCTCCAATTGACAAGAGCTCATCTCATGCAGCCAACATTCAGATACAATATAACCTCATAACCTGTTAATATACCATTATTGGACCTCCAATGTAGGATCAAAGTAAGAAAACTCGCTGAAGCTCAAAGTTATCTGAAATCAAGGTTGAATAACTTTTTGTAGCTTTATGACTTTTGTGGGGGTGTTTCCTGTCTGAAGCCAACTGAATTGTGGAATTGAAATCAAAACCTGTTCAGGTCATGATAACTCTACCCACGTCTATTGAAGGGGGTTAAATAAAGATCAGACTCTCTCAGACTAAGTTGTGTTTTCCATGCCATCTGTTTAAGAAGAAGATTTACAGTGTATTATTGTGTATGTATTTAGTTCAGGGTTGCTATATATAGTGTTAGATACCAGCAGATAGTTACACGCCAGCAGCAAGGGAATTACAAATATCAGATTCACATACCTACCACTTTAATACCTGAGACAATCAATCAAGTTCAACACCTTCCTCTGTTAAACTACCTTCGTTTATCTGCTTTGTCAAAATAGTTTTCAGAAACCTTGTGCTACTGCCTTGTGCAATCTTTTACGATGAGAGATGAAGATTTTAAAATGTTTCGAACTTGAACGATAGACTTTTGCATGTTTTCAACAGCTCCAATCTGAAACGATCATTCACATATTAATTCATTCACTGAAAATCAAATGGTCTAAGATTATCAATGAAATTTACCCCTTTTGAAAATTTTGGTCGAAAACAGTCAATTGAAATCAAATGCCTTCCACTTTTAAACAACTGGTCTGAATCAAGTTCAACTTAATACTTCCCACCTTTAAAATACCTGGAATGAGTTCATCAATCAAGTAGAACTATTTATCTGTTAACACCTGTAATCTGCTATATTTTATTTCACTAGCCTTCAACTACTTTCACTTTATTTTTAACCTAACATTCCACTCAAATCTTTGTAAACAAACTGGACTTTGAGCCAATATCTTAGAGTTATTTTCTTTCGATCTAATTAAATCTGGCAGATAGATGAGAATAAAGATGAATTGTCTTCATTTCTTATGAAAACTACTCCAGGCATATCCAGATTTTTTTAGTCACCAAGGTAATTATTTGGCATACATTCAAAAAAAGATTATTTGGGAATGCAAAAAAAACCTCTGTTGGTCCTGATTATGTTTCCAATCTTCATCAGGGCAGACATCAGAAAAGTTATTTCATTATGGAAGACTCTGACCCTTTATGTTAACAAAATAGCACTCTTTAATTAATACATTAACATCTTTCTCTTGGGATATAAAATGGCATAATATATATGTTAAGCTTTCACTCTAAGACCAAAATGGATTATGACACTGATAATAAAACCCTATCAATAATTGATAGAATAAGATACTGGCCTCCATGCACTTAACATTATAATGCTTGTATTAGTGATATTTCAGTCAACAAATACTGTAAACTGTCATGCATGTTAATTATTTACATTTGATTAACTAGCTTTAGTGGGTCCATTTTAGGTGTATTTGTGTTGCAGACAACACTCACTATGATATGATCATTACAATATCAATTATCGTTGTCTGGGCGTTTTGCAACCAATTTGATGTCATATCATCCTATTTCTGAATGCCTGAAACACACAAATTCAAGCCAATACAAATGATAGATTAAGAATCTAAACTTGTTTCTTTGTAGTCTACTGAACAATGTATATAGATCCCAAATGAAATTTAGTCTCTGGTTGTCTCGAAATTTAGTCTCTGGTTGTCTCGGGGAAGATTCAAAGCTCTTGTGATACTCGTATCCAGATTGTAGAGCAGAATGATCTTTCATGTTGTCTTATTTCATTAGGTAGTCAGCAGAAGATAGTTGAAGGCTTGTTTTCTCATTTTTGATAGGGAAATAAATTGACAAAATTTCTGTGTGCTAACTTTCTAACTGATTATCTCAGTGGTATAAGTTTGGTTTCTCTCCAGGAAGATGTGTTCTAATTTTCTATGTTGATTTCCTGCAACTGGTATTCATAGTTTAAGTCAATACCAGTGTGAGTTGGCCTTTAGTTAGTCAGTAAGATATTAGTTCTAGCTAAGATGGAGAAAGAGTGGGCTGAAATCATGACCACATGGAGGATTAGGTAGCTAGCAGAATGTGGGTGCCAGCTTTGATTTAAAATTGAATTGTTTTTGTAGTTTAATCCTTTATGTTCCAACAAGCCGATTAGAGAGAGGATTAAATCATCATCTCTTAGTAGGTGTTTGAATAGAACCATCTGGCATCACAATTAAACACAACTTCAAAACAAGCTGTAAATCCTGAAATTATAAACAGGAATCACAAAAACATTTAAGCTTCAAGACGCTTTTGGTTGTACTGTCAGATAAATCTTTAATACAGCCCTTTTAAGGAAGCTCTGCATCCGTTACGGCTGTTTTGCTTTTGGGGCTCTTTGCTACCTCTTCTTCAGATGGACCTTAAACTAATCTTTCTTTGAGATACTTTTGGTTATGCCTTGATGATTCTAGAATAGAGCCCCTTTTAAGAAAGATTACTGTGACCCCTTTTTTACTTTTGGTGTTCCATTTTACCCGTTCAGATGGAATTTAAAACCAATCTTTCTTATGTAAACTGATCAACATTAATTGCATGGCAGCCTTTTCTTTGAGTTACTACTTTTACATAATTTGTAGCATCAGACTTCAACGCAGATTCACTTAAAAATTACTCTGATCAAAATTTCACGTTAAAAGGATATCGTTTTTCCATGCAATCGTAGAAAGA